AAGGCTTTTTTTCTGTCCCTGAGTCTTACCACATTACCACATGATTTAGTTGTATAACTCTAATTTCCTATATGGATGCAATTATTAGCTATATTTATGAATTTCGATATTTCATATGTATTATATACAGTTTTACTAACTTAATAAACTTGAGTGTATGATGCAGATAATTCTAGTCTGTTTCCTCCACTGGTGAGTGGCTGACAAATTTATCGTGCCGCACCAGCTAAGCCCTGCAGCACCTTTGATGTTTTATTAATAATAAGGCAGCCTTCTGAACACACCAGCTGATATGAGGGTTTTCGGTGTGTGACAGTGTGTGTGTCTGTAATATGTACTTGTTTCCAGTCGTTCCATAAGTACTAGCACCAACACTGCCACCAGATGCAATACCAAGTGAATGCTAAACAAAGCTGACTGTTGAATAATTGAGCATCTAAGACCAGAGCAGGCTCAGATTAGCATACAGGCCTTATGGAGCCAATCTGCACAGTGACAGGAGGGTCTTTTTGTCCCCGGCTACTGCTCTGATTTTTCATGGGTCTAACATTTCAACAGAAAGTTTTAAAATGTTTAAAAACATTTTTTTAAAGTGTAGCTTTTAAATTTTAAGGAGGTCATAAAAATGGATGTGTAGATTCTAGGGTAAACTGTAAGGAGAGTAAAGTCACTGCAATAACTTTGCACTTAGCAAACCTTGCACTTGTTTGGTTCAACCTATATATATATAATTTAAATGCAAACAAATGCTTTTGATGCTGTTGCTATGAGAAAACAAACATCATCCAGATTAAAGTAAAATGGAGACTGTCAGAAACAGTGCCAGATTAAACCCATGTTTGGAGGACCAGTCCCTGCTTAAGTCTCCTGGGGTAGCCTTCCCTTATTCACTCTCTCTGGCCCGTCTTGGCCCTGGGTAGTAATCCTGGCCCCCTATGTGTGCCCATCCTGCTCTCATTAGTGCAGTGTTCAGGCCCGGGGATCCTGCAGGCCTGGGGAGGTTGCCTGCTGTTCCCCTCCCACTCCGCAACTCTCTCCCTCACTGTAGTAATGAGCACATAATCAGCCTGGCTCCCTGTCAACAGCAGCAGCAGCAGCAGCAGCAGCAGAGGGGCATGTGGTGAGGAGTGAGGGCAGAATCAGTTGTTTCACTTTCTCTAGAGGCTTCTCCCTCCACACCAAATGACCCAGTAGTAGGAGGTCAACAGATCAAGCAGGGTGACTTCCCCTTTCAGTACACACAACTGAAGCTGTGACACTTTCTGTCAACTTCCCTTCACATAATATTTGGCCAGTGAACTATGAAATTGTAGACAGGATTATGTTCTCATATTCAGGCCTTCCCTCAGACTATCCAGTCATTAAACCTGTGTAATTTAACCACAAGTGAAGCCTGATAAAAATACTCAAGAACCTGGTTATATTATATATATGTGTATAGTAAAATATTATGAACAACATATAACTGAGGAAATGTATGAGTATGATAATAATTCATTTGAATGTGGTGGCAATTCCTGGGTTATATCCACAGTGATTTAATCAAATGTTAGGAAACATACTAATACAATATTAGAGATACTTCAATCAGGAGAATGCTGTTTAGAAATAAGAAATGACATGTTTAAAATTACATACATTTAATGTCTAGTGTTGCATAACACACTAACTAAAACTTGATACAGACATTCATTTTTAAAAATAATAACTTTCACGTTTCTTAATTATTCAGGTTCTGGCCAACCCCTGAGTTGAAACTACTATTAGGAACTCTTTCACCTAACAAATGTTTTCCTTTATAACTGACCATACTGCAAAAAGACACATAAATGCTGCATGATCCTACTTGGCAACTACATCACATTATGATTTGTATTAAAGTATGACATTAATTTGTGTAAGAAATTGCTAAATTACCAGGGAAATGAGTCACCTTTCAGACCACGTCATGTGAAATTCAAGGACACAGGGACTAATTTCTGACACTGATTCACACAGTTCTGCTGAAAAAAAAAAACCCTGTGAGATCTCTCTCATCCTCAGTCCCTAATGTTTCTGTCGGTATTGATTTTCTTGGCTTAGAGAGATGAAGGCTCTCTCCCAAAAAAGAAGAAGACAAGAAAATCCTTCACATGGAACAACATGAAAAGTAGCAGCAGCAGCCGCAGCCACTGAAGAACAGAGGAGAAACAGAACAAGCAGAGAACTCAGCTGCACCCAGTGTGACTCTCTTTCCTTTAAATTCAACTGCTGTTGTAACAATTCATGTTTTGAAATTTTATCTCCACCAATGATGTGAGAACAAGAGCTGTTTTTTTAAGGGTATTTAAACATCCAGGACAAAATGGTTTTAGCCACTGTACCTGGCATCATTTGCTGCTGACGTGCTGATACAACCAATATAAATATAATAAAATTCAAATGAGAATAAAGCCAAAGAACTAATGTGCAGACACTGCCAAAGTGTACAGGCATAAAAGTCAATGGATTCCAATGAAACAATGAGGTCTTTAGTGGATTGTTCTCACAGAAAGATTCAAGGAGTTTTGTTCTAAGCCTCAAAGATCACAAGATGTATGAATGAAAATATCATGCAGCCTGAGTCCTGAGGCCTTCAGAAGAAAAAGAGAGAGAAACTCCTTCATGATGCAAAAACATGTTTACACCCACCAGCCACTTCTTCAGATCTGTCTTGTTGTGACAAAATGCTCTCAAATTAAAGGATCAATTCCTCAGGGGATATCTGTCCAAATCAACTAAGGTTCTACGATTGTGGAAATTATTTATTTACAAATGTACAAATATCCATGTTCATTAATTCAAATTGAGGTTGAAGTTTGAACACATCCTCCTCTGTTGTCAGAAAGGGATGAGAACTGTCAGCAGCAACAGTCTGGTTTCCTTGGGTATTTAGGCATTGCTCAGTTGATTTGTGTTGTTTGTTACAGCAGAAAATAAACATGCGTGTATAATGAAGTTAATACAGGCAACAATCAACTTTCACTGAATATTTTAGCTATTTTCCTACAATAAATATTCCTGAACCAATGGTGTTAAACATACAGATGGTTTAGAAAATATAAAAATAAATGAAATTAAATTTTTAAGATAGATATTAATAAACTAAAATGACTCTGACATCTCTGCTCTACACCAAACATATCCATATGGGCCGCAGCTGGCTTCATTTAAACTATATAGGTTCAGTAGAGTATGCATGTTTATGGACCACATATACATAGTTCCTGTCTGCCCCTTAGTGACTTATGGGTTAAACACATGAGGACTACAACAAACCACGAGACAAAATTATTTTCTAACCTACTCCTCAGCTTCATGTGGACTGTGAGGCTCGGCGACAGCAGTATAACTACCGCAGTACTGCAATCAGTGTAGTAAAATTGGTCACAGAGATTTGTATAATTTTACATATTACAACATATATTTTATATGTAGACCCTGGTTATCTCAACAAGGTTTCTCACAAGAACACTAACAGTGTCACTGAGAGGTCAGCATTTAGTTTAATTAAATATGCTTAATTGGTGTCTATTGAACTTCCAGTTTGTCCTGAATTCCCATGGATGAACAGTTTCCCCTTTATAACAGTTTCCCATTGACTATGCTCAATGAGGACTTTCATCAACCACAAACTCAGCGAGCACGTCTAGGCAGGGCATGTGAGGTCAAGGGGCCGAACCACAACGCCTCTCATTTACTGAAATGAGCTGACTGTGGCTCATCTGCTTATAATCTGCTTGAGATGGCTTTTATGAAATAATAAAAAGAAATGCCTCAAGATATCTGGTTGGTGATACCAGCCCCGTGTTATCTCTGCTTTCCAACGCAGAGATAATCTGTCAGCAGAGCCACTGACCAAACAGGTCTGCTGAGGACCTGCATTGTTCCAACCAGAGCGAGACACCACCGTGACTGCATCACACCTACGTGGCAATGTTAAGGAATGGATAGGAGGTTCAAACCTGAGATTAATGGCAGGAGATTGTGTTAATGTGTCAAACACAGGCAGTCAGACAGACGGACTGACAGACTTTTAGACCAGGACTGGTAGGGTTCACAGCACAGTTTACATGTAGTTGTTTGTGGTTCCCAGAACCACAAACAACTACATGTAAACCACAACTGGATTATTGGGAATAACTGCATTATGGTGAGAGTTTGGAGTTGATATGGTTTACAGTACATGGATTCATTCCCTCATTAAGTTCACATAACTTCTTTGATTATTGAGTTAAAGTCCCGTATAATGCAGCCCCAAGGTTTTATCGGTTTCATCAAATGAGGAAAGCAGAAATAGTAGGGCATTTTTGGTGTTTTCCCCATATTTTACTGATGCACATGATTTAGTTATTTCTGTGTCAAATCATAGTGTGGGAAAACAGTGAATTAATTTCCCTCTCTATCCTCTGGGCAGATGCATTGCACACTCCCTAAATTGAATGACCAGTGAGCAAATTAGACAATAAATACAGTATACAGTAAATGATACAGGAGGTTATGAGAGCAGATCAGGTCATTACAGATGTTTAAACGTTGTTAACTTGCATGTATACTATAAACGTGTGTAGTTTTATTGGGGGTTTTTTTCCCATGAGAAATACCCAAAATATTAAATATATAAATATTAAACTGCAACTAATCCAAATCACTCAGTAAAGGTTAAAATACCGTCTAAATCATGCCCCAAGGTTCGAGGTCATGTTCTAAGTTTCTGAATTAAATGTTCTTACTGTCCATGGTTTGACTGCTGAAGAAAATTGGATGTGAACAAAATAAATTAGTTGAAGTCAGATTCAGGTCCAGTGGGTTTTAAGTTTGAGTTCAAATCATCAAAGATCAAATTAAGGTCATGTGAGCACTGCAGCATTTCCCAATAACATCATATACGATCCTTAAATGTAAAAATAAAAAAAACTATCTCGGCGCCTAAACACTTAGTTTTGAAATTCTAGTTTTAATCAGATGTTTTTACTACTTACTAAATGCCCTGGGGTTGGAGAGCGGGAGTCTTTCAGAGCTGCAGATCCTGGAACATCCAAAAGAGGCCATTTCATTTGCAGATACTGTGCGTAAGAGAAAAAGAAGGAAAAAAATTAAACAACAAAACCAGACACACACTGGAGGGAAAATAGTCATAAAAATGAGGGGAAAAATCATAAAGAGGTAAAATAGGACTATTAGGACCAAAAGGTATAAGAGTCTCATGAGCAAAAATCTTGCATTAAATTTACAGTGTCAGCAGTGCTGGGAGAACATCTTTTCCTGCACCGTGCAAAAGTGGTATGACTGGTGTCAAACCCGCAGAGATCTGCGGCAGACACCTGTATGAGACCCACATCCCTGCTGGAGTCAGACAGTCATTTTTTGGCACGGCGGACAGCAGGGAGAACGATGTGAACGCAGCGCAGTGGTGGAGGACTGTGAAATTGCCATTTGTCAGGGAAGGAAAAATAACAGGAGACCAGCTGTGGGCGCCCATCTTTGAGTGGGTGGGAAGAGACAGCTGGAAGGAAGCTCCCATCTAAAGAGCAGAGAAAGGTTGCACTGCGGACACAAAGGTAACACCTGTCCATCCGTCTCAATTAGACTAGCCTTTCTGACCTCCTCCTATGAGTATGATTTTATTACACAGGTTATCAAATGGTGCCAATGTTTGGTGTTGTCTTTTTAAAAAAAATATATATATATATTATTAAAATTATTTTAATAATATATTTAATACACAGTTTGTCATATTACTGCCCAGCCATTTGTCACTTAAAAACTCTAAGAAAAGTTTTTCTTTGTGATTAACGGCTTGATAAAACGAGCTTAGCCTATTTTTTTCCTCCCTCCTGTTCTTCAACAAGCAGCCAAAAGCACACAGCTCAAGCATCTGGTTTATGAATCACTTTAAATACCGGATACAGCAGCAGCAGCTTGTCATGCATGTGGATTTTCTCCCATGTACACTTTTTACATAAATTGCAAGCATTTTTATTTTATTTCTGCAGATCAGACTAGAAAAAAATTAATCACAGATTATGTGGATGTATAATCTGCCAACCTCTGGCAGAATAGTTACATTTCTAGTGTTTACCAAAACAAATAATGACTGACAAAAATCGGAGAATATGTGAAGTTTCATCCAGTTTTAAAGCACAAATGATTGCAAACAAGTAAAGTGAAGAAGCCATGCATTCTGGTTCCGACTTTTAAAACTTCATTCATCACTCAGGGTTTGTAAGGAGGAGGGAAGCTAGGATGGCTGTGGGTTAAAAATGGAAAAGACATTATAGCAGGAGGGAGAAAAAAGGGAGAGGAGGGAAGAAGAAACATTTTCAGGAAAGAGTTTGTTGGAGCAGGCAGAGGGTATTGTTTCCTGACAGCTGGGGTCCAACACAGAACGGAGGCAGGGGGAAGGGGACCCTTTTTTTCTCCCCTCGAAACAGAGGGGAATTCTTGGAGTTGACATCAGCCCTCTTCATTTCCACTATACTGCTCAAGGCTGAATCGTAGGTTCCAACTAATGGGCCCAAGTCCATACAACTGTCAGGAGGCAGTTGCTTTTAGAGGCTGATAGCTCCCTATTGAAACTTTACTCTGCTGTGTGGATGGTGCCTAATGAATGCTACTCTCCAGAGAGAAAACCCAAAACAATGCAGTTTTCTCTGTCTAATCTATGTCAATCATGAGTCCTTCCCCAAATGAAACGAGCTCTATTGTGAGCGTTTGGTCTAGCCCGGTCCGTGCCCACCCCAGCACAGCTCTCCCACCCAATCCATCCTTTAGTTGACAGCTTCTGCCAGGACTGAGGAACATGCCCCCAGGCACGTTTTTTTTCCAAGCGCCTACTTTTCTTTTAATTGCCAGTGTGTCTTATGGAGCAGCGATCCACTCACACACACACACTTGCTGAAACATCCAGGCAGGTAATGCCACTCGCACACTGTCACATTAGCTTCAGTCCAAACTGCAGCAGCGCAACACTCACTAACAGAGGAGGCACAGGGAGAGAAGGAGGGAGGAAGGACGATTGAGGAAGAAAGGGAGGGGGGTGTTTGGGTCTGTGACGAGCTGTTTCAGGAAACAAAAGGCCCAGAACTGCAGGGCGTGCTGCTCAGCAAAAACTTTCTCGGTGTTAAAGTGACCCAAAAAAATTGGGGTGAGAAAGATAAGAAATGGAAACACGCATAAGGGTGAGAAAAAAAATTCAGGAAAACCAACGTTCATGACACATGGCTTGTGTTAGGTTGTAGAGCTTGAGACAAGAAATTAAACCAATTTTGATCTGTTTAACATTTAGGAGAGTTCATTATCAGGCGTTCATAATTTTCAGAGCATTGGTAAACATTCAGAAATTATTGTTGATAAAAGGAAATACTTTCAGTAATTTTCCTGACACACTGAGTTCAGCTGTTAAACACAAACCCATTTGAAAAGTGCATAAATGTTTGAAATGACAATGAGTAAGTGAAAAGTGTTTATCATGTACACAGAAGGAGAACCAAGAACCCTGCTAATGAAGCCAAGGAGGCCTTTGTCTCTATTTGTCTTAAGAGCTGGACTGGGAGAACTTCTGCCGTGTCCTGATTTAATCAGAAACAAATATAGGCTGTGAGTCACAGCTGTCTGCAGCCTTGAACAGACTACTGACAGAAACATGTAACTCAAATGAAGACAGGCTGATTCTCTTTGCTTTACTTGTCTTCCAGGATTTCCCCACTCGCCCCCAACACTCAGAACAGACATCAGTAGAATGTGCTACTTCCTCAGGGCCCAGAAGCCACAAAGGTGGCAGTGATGGTGCTGAAATTTTCCAAATGCTGCACCCGGGAGCTGATTGGTGTTTTGAAGTGAGAGAATACAACATATGCTGTGGGGCACGAGGCCTTTCACTGCCAGGGCTGGGTTCTAATTGTTACATCGTTCTCACAGAGCGCAGGAAAAAGCAGGGCCAAGAGTCTTTGTCATATCTGAAGTGTGTGGAGCCGCAGCGCAGAGCAACATCAGGGCAGCGAGAGGAGACAGATGTCTGGACATTTGCTGTCAAACTAAGTCAGAGGCTCTGCCAAAGTAAGACAGAAAGAAGTCACAAAAACTTTACTCAAACTTTCTGTCATATTTAAAGACAGCAGAAAGAATCGGTGATTGCCAGAAAAACATGAATATGTGTAAAATTTCTAAATAGGATTATCTATAATATTCTACCATAAAATTAAATAAATTATTAAGTAAGTAAGTAAGTTTAACAAGTAAATTGATTCAAAGTAGTTACTGCTAAAACTTTGGGTAAGATGACCTGGGTGACATGAGAACATACCATTTGTAAGTAAATTGATTGACTGCATTGTGTCAGACAAGTCTATGAAATAAATCATTTGACTTGTTTAATTTATTACATACATATATATTTTTGGAAATGTCAATTCAAAATGATCAATTTAAACCTCAAGTTTAAAAATTATGACATTCTTATTTGTACTTTTTCTATTCGGTGTCAGTAATTAGGTGTATCCAGTGAAGAAAACTTAAAGAACAACTTAAATTATGATGGTAGATTTTTACCTAATTAAATTTTAAACTAACTTGAATGGCAAATTAAAATGATATGTTGAATTGCTATAAGTACATAATAATATTAATAATAGTATAAATAACTAAGACACAATCAAACTGACTATAAAAGTCTGCATTTTAAATATCACTAAAATTATATCAAGTTTTTGCTTTAATAATCAGTATTTCAGTTATTTTGTTTTCCGTTAACAATTGTAAACAACACACAGAAAAGTCTGTCTTAAAAAATTAGTTGTTGATTGATTATTGTGCTTTGTGTCAAAAATGTGTTTAATTTTAAACCTTTAACCAAAAATGATTTGCATAATTGTTTTTTGATAATTAGTTTATCAACATCTTTAAGTTATTATTACAGACTATAATTTTTTTAATCAATAAAAGTATTCAGTTTACTTTTCATTAGGCCAAAAGAAAATTGTAAAATCCAAGATTTTCTTATCAAGTAAAAACAGAAATATATTTAATAATGCTCTCCTAGTCAAATAACACATCAAATTAAAAAAATCGTATAAAAGCATGCTATAATAATGTCCCCATATACTCCACCAACTACTTGATTCATAAAATTTTACATTTATTAGAGAAATGCACTTGAACTAAATAACTACTAAAATCTGGTCTTGATAAATTAATAACAAACTGAGACGTAAATGTCTAGACTTAAATGTCTAAACATAAATTGGATTTAACTAAATCAATCATGAGCAAAAGGTCAGACAAACAAACAAATAAGGTAGTCTGTGTGTTAAGTGCCAGCTCAGATCCTGGCTGGCACTTGTGAAATGGCTGCTGCGGTGAATGGTGGAGCGGCAGGGATGCCTACACGGCTCGCCCCAGCAGATAATGTCAATCACCTGCTGTGTGCACAGCCCCTCCCTTTTGCTTTCTTTTACCCCCAACAGAAAACAAATGGGCCACACAGCGTGCTGTTTGGCTGAGGTGTTAATTACTCTCCCCTTCCCCATATGAACAACAGCTTTCACACAATGGTCCTGTCAGGCCTCGGCACAACACCCCTCCCTGCTCTTTCTCTGCTCACATCACCTGCTCATACAGGGAGTTGTGGGGGCGTGAGCATTGACACCTCCACCCCTGATCTGTGCATGAAACAATTAAAAGCCCTGCATGACAAAGAGTGTGTGATAAGTAGCTCCCGCCTCAACCCACAGTTTGCATTAAATCTCATTGTTTGTCCACATTAGAGGCAATCGTAATGACAATTCTCAAGTAAACCTCAGGCACTCACTGTGCTAATTACTGTGTAATTGATGGGGACACGACAAGCAGCTCATCTGGTTAGACCCGCAAAGCACTACAGGGCCACTGAATGAGGAACCGTGTCCTGTTATCCACTCTGCCTTACGGTAAGTAGATTAGTCACAGAGGAAGTTATTAATCAAAGCCGTAGGACGGAGCAAAAAAGAAACAGGCACAGATAGTTTGGTGAAATTCTGACCACGACAGAAATGTAGTCGGTTTTCTGTTTCTCAACACCAACAACAAG